TCAATGCTCATCTCAACAAGCTCCGTAACGTACTTCCTTGTCACTCCAAGGTAATTAATACAAACTTTAGTCTTACTTAATACTCTAATATTCTAACTTAATAATGTTATATCTTCTCTACTCGTAGTACTATATACACATAATCTAAGAGAAAATTTTGGAATATGAGAATAAGAGTTTTGAATGTTACATTGTTACACCACCAAACAATTTGTGTTTTCTTTTTAATCTAACTAAACTATATATCCAAATGACAAAAAATGTTAATTTTTCTCTTTAGTTAATTTAATTTTTGTTTGGTTTATTTTATAGTACTGCCTAGCTAGTGTCTTATGATTTGATTTTGGTAAGAAAGGTCGAATATTGGAAGTATATCACTTATAGGAAAAAACGAACCTTTTTTTGTAAATTAATTAACATCAGTCCAATGCAATTTGTAATGTTTTCGAATAATAATAAAAAGCTACAAGTACTCTGGGAATATCTAGAAAATTGAGGAAAAAGAAAAGCTTTCAAGTCCTTTTTTTTTCTTTCTCTGAAGCTTGAAAATCACTTTGTCGGAAAAGTTTTTTAGCTTTTTAAATTTTTTTTTTAGCTTTTTAAATTTTCCTTTGAAACAATTGAATATCAAATACAAAATTTCTCGAATCAAGAGTTTCTAAAAGATCCAAACTTTTTTCTCTTTCTTATTTCATATTTTGTTGTTTTCTTTTACAGACAGACAAAGCCACACTACTAGCAAAAGTTATTCAACGAGTCAAAGAACTAAAACAACAAACCCTAGAAATCACCAACGAATCATTACCATCGGAGACTGACGAATTCAGTGTACTCAACTTTGAAGACTGTTCCAACGACGAAGACGGTCGGAATCGGATAACCTTTAAGGTATCGTTTTGCTGCGAGGACCGACCACATCTCATGCAAGATCTTGTGGAGACACTTAAGTCTCTTAAGATGAAAACTCTCTATGCCGATATGACTACAATCGGTGGTCGAACAAGAAATGTTCTGGTTGTGGCCGCCGACAAAGAGTATCATGACGGCGTCGAGTCGGTGCATTCTCTGCAGGACGCACTTAAGTCATTGCTCGAACGGTCAAGCCAGTCGGTGATGATGGGACTTGGTGGTGGGGGAGAAAGGTCAAAACGACGTCGTGAGCTGGATTAATGGTGTGATTTTGATGAGACTTGAGCACTACATATGATAATATAGTTTTTTTTCTAATAATTATTGGGTTTAACTTTTATCAGATAGTTAACGTGGTTATAATTACCAGAACCCTTCTGTGTTTTTTTTTTAACCAAAAAATACTTTATATGGTTTTAATCATGAGTTTGTATTATAAAAGCAAACATATGTGGAAGTAGGGTTGGTGTGCTCTTTCTCTATTTTTATTTAAGAAAAAAGGAAAAAAAAAATCTATATAGAGATATATTGTATAAAATTAATTTCAAATTTCAGAGGTAAAATAGTTGATGACGAAGGTTTATGGATTGTGTGAATATTTGTTGAGGCAGAAGAATCTAAGAAAGAGATGTGATTGGTTGAAGTACTTGCAAGAAACAAGACTTCCAAAACAA